TCTCTCTCTCTCTCTCTCTCTCTCTCTCTCTCTCTCTCTCGCTTTCGCTTGAGCTTAATACGTGGTAAAGGGTTTATTTATTAGTGCGATAAAAGATATAGGGATGCGAAGATATAGGGGTGCGCGACGTGAGAGTGACTTAACTTCGGCGGTTCTCCGCGATTTAAACGATAAAGTCCGCGGGCTTACCGCATCCTGAAAAATCGTGTGTCGCGACCAAAGGGCATCTGACGGGGATGTCTCAAACATTCTTTTTTTTCTTTTTTTTTTTCCTGGTTTGTCTCCAATAGATAAATCCTGTTCTTCAGTTCTTCAGGAGGATTGTGTAATCGCGATCGAGAGGTGATTAAGATAGTGCCGCAATGATTTTGCTTTTGCAGATCATTGTAAATCGCGAATCTTGGAATCTGAAAAAGATTGTGTACTGCCCTCAGAACGCGATTAATAGTGACCGAATACTTTGAACATCTATTTATCAACAGGTAATTGTATTTCTCGAGATAAGACACCGCAACCAACAGTCAACCGATCGATTTAATAAATCATGGTTCCCGGAATTTGAAAAGTCAAGTAATGTAACCAAGAGACAATTAACTGTGACTCTTTAGTATATTATAAGATGAATTGCGATTATCGGAAATGGAAATTATTTAAATAAATATTGAATATTTAAATAAAGATACATAATGTAACTAAACTATTTTAATATCTACATGCTTCATCTATATGAAGCAATATTTAATGAAAATATTTATAGTATTTAGAATATTTAAAGTAATTTTACAAATAAGAAAAATAAATAATCTAAATAAATATTTAATTATTACATTATTTTTAATCGCTTGATCCGCATTACGCGTCTTCTTTATCGGGTAATCATAAATTAATATTGGAAAGACATCTGAAGAAAATAAAATGCGTTTTGTGATATTTTTATAATTATATATTTGAAAATTTAAAATACACGCACAATGCTTGTTATTTAATTATAAAATTGTAGCTAAAACTTACCGCGCGATGACTTTTGCTTTTGAAAACTAATTTTTGTATCTTCAGCTCCTTGAAAACTTTCTTGGAAAACAAAAATTCGACAATAAATTTTACCTCAGAAATCTGTCGCTATAATAAGTTTTTTAGGAATTATATTTTTGTTAATTCTTAATTACATTAATTCATAGGTACTCTTAATGAACACTTAATAAATAATTTACAAGAGATTACGATAAAATTTCTTTACATCGTAGAAATTATTCTTGAAATAGTCCATTTGATCACGACGGAAGGAAGAATTATTTATTATTTGAAAAAAGAAAACTAGAAAATACTAAAAATATCAAATTGAAGCTAATTGGCGAGTTCGAGTTCTTCCAGTGTGTGAGATTAATTTGCATATATTATAAAGAGCGGACGATACAGTATTACATAGGAAATATAAAAGAAGAAGAAGGAGAAGAAGAAGAAGAAGAAGAAGAAGAAGACGTTGGTGAACCGACGAAGGCGGTAATCCGTTGGGGTTGAAATAACCCGGATTGATCGGGTTAGGTTGGTTGGGTGTGAGACGCGAAGGCGGTTGATTCCCCAAGGACGGGGAAGGAAGGCTTTGGTTGGCTTAGGCATGGCCGTGTTTTTCTTGCCGCGGATCATTAGGACGATTAGGGTTCCTACGGAAAGGGGGAAACAGATTAGCACCGGTGATCTTCTTGCGGCCCGCCCGCTTTTCTTAAACAGGATTTTGCGAGTCTTTTAAGATTGTAAGTGTCATGATACGTCGAAACATTGGACAAAACGTAACAATTTCGTACTACTTTTCTACTATCCCCTCCAAGTATGTCTGTGTGAAACTGATGGGCACTAATTTTTGTGAATAATTAGACAATTATTTAATTTATATTGCTAGCAATTGATTTTGATAATTCGTAATTATCGTACAATATATATTGTTCTCGAAAGTTTTTATATTAATTCAGTTAATCGTCATTTTGAGATATGGAAAATATCGTTGTAAGACACTGTTTTGAGTGACAATTTTGAGAAAATGAGTTTACAGATAGCGCATAAAATATGATATAAATACTTTTTTGTTTCAGGAGACAGATTACTTGACATATTGTGTGATGTATGCGGTGACCGTAGTTCCGGAAAACACTACGGCATCTACAGCTGCGACGGTAATATTAATTTATAACTTTTATTTACGTGGAATGACTTTGCTAAAGTATTTAAAAATTTGACCAATTGTAGAGATATATCGAGCTGAAAATAGATTTATTGGATCGTCAAAATTATTGAGCATGTGTGTGGAACATTTAAGCATGATGATAATGCAAATGTGCAAATTTTTGTTATTCTAGCAATTTTAATATTCTGTATAATTATTTTTATGAGTTAACAAACTTCTTTTCAGATATTTAAAAAATTTTTAGATACTTTAGCAAAATTGTTCTTTTCTTGTAAGAGAAAAACAAATTTTTTCACAATATATATTTTATAAAACTTTCTTATGTGTATAGTAAACAATTTGATTGTAATAATAAATTAATCGAAAAAATACATTAAACATACATTATAAAAGGCAATGTTAAATAATATAATATTTTAAACTTAAAAATTTTAGAAATTAAGAATAAAAATAATGCTTCTCTAATTTAATTTATTTCTTAATCAAGAGCTTCAAAAGCAGATTAACTTTAAAGTACTTTAAAAAAGTACATTTTAATTTTTTTTATACTTAAAAAAATTTCTTTTTAGTGTATATTTAGTGTATGTATTGTTGAATATCTCGTGAAATATTTTAACAATAATAAATTTAATTAATGTACATCATATCATATTGTTATATGCAATTTTTTTACGGTTACCCAGGTTGTTCGGGATTTTTCAAGCGAAGTATACACAGCAATCGAGAATATATTTGCAAGGCCCAGGGTGCTAAGAAAGGACGTTGTCCAATTGACAAAACCCATAGGAATCAATGCCGTGCTTGTCGTCTCGCTAAGTGTTTCGAAGCTAACATGAACAAGGACGGTAAGTACCGCGAATAATATTAATATTTTCCATTTACCAGTTTGATAAATTGCATCACCAACATTGCAATTAATTTATATTTATATCTATTCACAAAGTTGTATTTGCCTATTTATCTTACAATAGTATTGTAATTTTTATAGCGTACGTGTGTGTATTATTATAGTATCAGTAATCTTTTCTGAGAATATTATTATTTATAAAATATTTAGAATATTACGAAACGGAATCATAATCGCATTTATTGCACAATTATGTTATTTCATCATCTAAAATTTATCTCTTTTTCGAAGTATTTCTTTCTAATCAATCAAATACTTAATTTGATACTTTACTCAATACAAATACATTAATGTCTCAAAGTTCACGTTTCTAAGGTATTTTTATACATTTTTGTAAAATTTATATTTTAAGAAACGTTATTTAAAAAATTATTGCAATAACTGTCTGTTTTTTTTTCTGAGCTATTTTTTAATACAATTTTAATCTACGATATTTAATATTTTGACTTTGATATATCTCACGTATACAAATATATAAGATTTCTTCTCGACAGTTTCGTAGACAGTTTATCTTTCTCGCGTTCATGTTTTAATGCGCGAGACGCATTAACGTAAGAAATATATGTCTGCCAAGTTTGAATGACCGCGAGAATCGCCTTTCATCTGTCCTCTCGTTTGTTTTCGCGAAAGGCCACAAATAAACCACGAAGAAATCGACTGTAACTATCGGTCAACCAGACCTTCCTAAATAAACCTTCGCCAACAAAGCGTTGATCAGCGGCCGAACAGTGTAAAAGCTGACGTGACAAAATCGACCCCGACGAGCAAGATGCCACGATAAAATATCATTAAAAATAAATAAATAAATAAATAAATAAATGATAAACGATAAACGGTAAATTTCAGATGCTAATTATTATATTTCGGAATGAATATTATTGTATTTTATCTCTGTTACGCTAAGGGTAAACTCGAATGTGGGCTTGCTAACTTGGTAAATGGATACGCACTGTCATGCAACGTTTCGGTTTTCCGTGACGTCTCATTTGATCGACGTCATATTTATTAGAGCCAGCCAAGTGTCATTTTTGACACTTAATATTAATTTGTTCAGATATAAAATTTTGTTTTAAAACTTGGAATTTTTGAAATTACTTATTTTATTTATTTACTGCTAGCGATTTTTGTAGGACGATTTATTTTGGATAAATTGTATTCGTTTTGTGCATCAAATTTACATTTTCATTTTTGGATATTAAAAATTGTAGAAAAGTAAAAGGCAACACAAATATTATGATCTTGAATAATTTCTTAAAGCAACGAACGTCTGCATTGAAAGAGGAATTACTCGGCTAACAGATACGAATGTATAAATTCGGACAATAGAAATATATAGAGAACTTTGACTGAAAATGATAAGGAAAGTTTTAAAAAATTATTTGCGATTAAATAAAGAAGTTGAAAAAAGTGACTGAGTGGTGAGATTTACGGGTTACCATTTTTTTACCCTAAAGGTACTTAACAAATTGACATACAGATCCACTTTAAAACATCTAATC